ATCACATAGTTATGGCGCTAAGACATCTCTTTTAATACAGAGAACGATGAAATCCCCGACGTCAGAATATACTACGTCGGTACTAACAAGCTCTTGCGATGTCAGACACACCCTGAAATAAACACGAGTTACGGTACGTGTATAGGTAACAGATGCAGAAACAGTGCATATAGACATATTTACCAACACTTCGCACGTGAGCAACTCTGTTGTGCTACACAACACTATACAGCTTTTGATTTTGGCAGAAACTTTAACGAAAATTCCAGTCTGATATGTGGCTGTGTTATTCGATAACAACAAGGCAGTTGATGTTTGCGACATCAGAGTGCAAGAATTAGAAATAAGTGTAAATGACCAGTAGGTACAGTCGTAAGCTGCATGAAAAAGGAACACCGAATTCTTGTTTCAACAGCAATGACTCGTGGTGTGCATATGCAAGCTCGACGCATTGGTTGGCAAGGGGTCGATTATTTATTCGGATGAAGAATTGACCATTTGCGCAAACCTCCAAGCTGGCTTTCCTGCATGGTTGTTTTCCAACCAAAATGTCTCTTTTCAAGAATGCTTTTTTCAATCATTGTGTTTTGACATTCCCCCATTTCCTTCTTTACGAACGACGGTTGTCCCATCTTGAACGAACCCTCAAGTCTCTTGGTGGTTGAGACACCCGTCGTTCGTAAAGAAGGAAATGGGGGAATGTCAAAACACAATGAGTGAAAAAAGCATTCTCGAAAAGAGACCTTTTGGTTGGAAAACAACCATGCAGGAAAGCCAGCTTGGAGGTTTGCGCAAATGGTCAATTGTCCGTTTTCGAAAATTCTTTCGTCTCTTGAAAGTAACTTCAGTGTCCGATTTCATATTGCTAATGATCGTACTCACGGAGCATCGACACCAGTGTTATGAGCACTTCGAAAAGAATTTGTCGGCTACAGCTAAGTTACCCCTTGGAGAACATGACTCCCCATATACCTAAACACTGAATTGACAGACATGTGGCTTCATTGCGTTTTTGTAGTAATACAACTCTCGCTTATTTCACCATCTGCTCGTTGATTACCGGCTCGGCATTACCTTTGGTACACGTTGTCGTCTTTTGTTAAAATGCACCACAACATTTCACATATCAATGCGAACATCTTGTAAAACGACACTAACAAGCGTGCATGCCTTAAACGCCCATTTGTAAAAAAAAAAAGAACAACAGGGGATTGCCTCGAGCCGACTACTTATTTTACACGTCACATCTCCCAGAAATGCACGATGTTCTGCACTTAAACGGTCATCACGCCACTTCTGATTCAAATTTACACCTCCCGTGCAAATATTACCGCACCACCCACTGACACATTGGAAGACTCGTGAACAATTATGTAAGTGCAATACACTGAAACTCGTAATATATATAACAGACTGGCTTCGACGAGGTGCGTTTGTCATGTGCTGCATGACGAAGCGACCCTTATAGTTGGAAGACTCGGTGTTGCAGGCGGAAAGGCCGCCTTATGGGGCTATGGTCTATACGAAAAGGGGTGTGTAAGCGACGTCCAGACTCCTACAATCACACCTAATTACACATCGGCGACACGTAGTTCGTTCTTATAGTACGGGCCACTCTGTATAGACTAGCTAAATGGAATGTATACTACTCACAGCACACACACGAAAAAAAAAAGAAACTGTACACCCATTAAGAATTGTAGAACAATTGTAGAACCATGTAGAATTGTAGAATAAATATAAATGTGGAAGACAGTTGGATTTTGCATTTGGTGTAGATTTCCGCTCTAAATGGTTGTTTATTCCTTCACAGCGTACGACGGCATGCGACCGCGACGAATTGTAGAATACTCATGGAATATAGAAATGTCTGTCAAAATGTGACATTATCTGTGGAAGACCGTATTTTGCATTTTTTTTTCGGCTGTACGCTCTGCTTCTATTGTTCGCAGCTCACAGCGTCTCTATAATATTTATAATTTACCTAATTGGTGCAATGAACTCTTGATCGTAACACTAAAGCCAGCGTGGGAGACTAATCCCACTTTTTACGTGCACGCTTACTTATTTTTCCTCCAAACGCCGACAAATTGTTCAATTCTGAAGAGTCGTAAAGGGCGTATCAAAGAAGAGAGAATGAAAGGTTCAAGTAGGGAGACCTTAGAGATTTTTTAGTTTGTTTCAGTTTACGCCAAACTGTTGTTTATGCTTGCAAAACATTGAAGCTGGACAGCCTTGAAGAACTGTGAAGTATACGCACGACAAACTGTACGATGATACATCAAGTGGAAGACTGTTTGACTTTGCGTTTTCTGTCTCGGCGGACGCCTAACTCTTTTTTATGAGACTCAATAGTCCTCCTTAGTAGAACAAAGTACTCGTTTAGGTAATATTTACGCAAACTGTGCTTGCATCTTAGAGTTGCATTTAGGAAGCCCGCTGGATCTTACGAGTTATATATACCTTGATAAAAACAAGAAATCGATTTGCCATAGAAAACACGCCAGTGAAAGAAGCTTCGTCCAGAGGTCAACATATTGAGAGGATATTGACAAATTGTTTTCAGCTGTCGTCAATTTGGTATATCCCAATAAAGATCCGCCCATTCGGTTATTTGATGATCATTATACAGTAATACATTTTTACGGGATCATTCTACGTTGTAAGAAATTGATTTTTATTATGAAGATACCCGTTCTTGCAGCTGTGTAAAACAGGCGACCAGTTGTCGGCTTTGTCAATTTGGTCCAGCATAGGCAACGTCCTGTTTGATAGTTACAGGACCGCGTTTTACTACACCTCGATATCGGGGAAGTTCTTGGCAAGTGCCGTTTGGCCGGAGTAACTGCATGTGCTCTTCATGCATTCGCGCTCTCCATTGGTTGCGCATGCCCAGTCGACAACCGGTCAGGGTTAACATGTGGGCCTTCAAGGTTATATGATCTCACAAAGAAGCAGGCTATCTCAACGTCCGATTCTCGCGGAAGGAGTCATCAGGAATCACCATTTGTTTGCAAAACAACAACAGAAAAACGAGAAATCCTAACTATATTGTCTGTTAGCAAGAACCTATTTGGTACGATGATCTATCATACTGCGTTGATGTGCCGCTGGAAAGCATTCAAGATTTCACAATAAATCACTGGAGAAGTAGCCCAGAGTTCCGAATCTCCAGGTAGTGTTCCGTATACGCAAGCTACATTTGCAGTATCGTTGAGTTGAAATGGAAGACTGTTGAGCTAGAGCTATAAGTTCTGGTCATTCTGTATGCCAACTTGCGGCACATTTTAAGGTATGCAATACCTGTTTACATATTGAGCAGTTTTTATTTTTGCCGAAGTGGCCTAGAAGTTTGTCAGAAGTTCTTTGGAAGACATTGCTATTCTCCAGCGAAGGCGCTTGCTTGTGTTTTTGGTGGCATTCCGTTTCCACAGTCAAAATTGTCTTTTAACTCGTAATGCTCACGAATGGCATGGTAGTTACATAGGTAGATCATGGCAGTACTTGTAAAGTACACGATAGATTCACAACCATTCAAGTCAGATGAACACTTGATGCTATGTCTACTCCTTTTAAAAGCTACCACGGAAGACGGCACAGTTTATGTTCTTTCAGTTAGAATTCAAGCAGTAATCTCACCAAACAGATTAGCTTTTGGTTGACCTGCAATTTTTTATCTTCCACAGTGCTGGTGTAATCCAAAAACACCGTTAAGCACGTTTACGGTTAATAATACGCACCAGTGAGTTCCGCCAAAAACACGTCGCTCGCAGGCTTCTGCAAAGACTCATACTGAGCTTTCTTTGTTATTCTCAATTATGCGAACTCTACCCGCATGTGGTTGTCTGCATAGATCACGCGAGAACTTAGTTGGAATCTTTTTGAAGCACCAGTGGCTCCCCGACGTGATTTGTCGTCGCCAATACTTTAACGACAATATGACTCTGTGTCGAATCGAGAAGTCGTGTAAAGTATAGTCCCAGCTCCGTGGTTATTAATTAGGCCAGGTGCAAATTACAGAGCATATATACAGGTTAGCACCTCATTTTTCTCGTCATCGTTGCGATCAATGCGCGAGTGATTGCCAACGAAAATGTTTCGTAAGAGTATATAGTTAATCGCAAGTGATATGTCTCCTCAGGCAAGGGCAGGTTACGAGAATTCAGACCATGCAAATGTGTTGCCTAATATACACGCGCAAACAGACGCGTGTGCACACCACGCTTAACTGTACCAAAGTTAACTACAGTGTGTACATTTTCTTAAAGAATAGCTGGTCTAAGTCTTAGGCTGGCAAAGCTTACTGCCATATCAGTCAAAAAGCGTCACAATTAGCTTGAACACACAGCATGAAGCTGCAAAATTTCCTGCATTCACACAGCGTACTCCAAATTACTCGGCGTGCTGTGGTAGTCTTCTCAATAAGGAAACTTGGTTGTGAAGGATGGAGCCCGATATTGGTGTTTCGCTGCTCAAAACTTGTTGGTTTTCGATTCGGCCTGTTTAGTAACCTTTGGGACAAACCATGGGGCTTGTCTTGCCTAGGCACTAGATTACGGTGCTGTGAGACGTACTTCATTCGAGAACAGCGTCTGCGAGAGCATAGAGGGCTCGTGCAGGGTGTCTTTCCGGTCAGTCGTGCGTTTCTCTTATCTAATAATTTCACCTAGGGACACGACATGAAATCACTAGCATTGACAACGAAACTAAAATAGAAAAAAAGAGCAAAATTGCTTCCACCTAATGAACGCAGCACTGACCTTACGAAAACGTCGAACTTATCAACCACGTGCCTAAAGTGATTGTGCCAGGTAAATGATTAGATCGGCTCGTCGAAGTGATTCTAGGTGAGGCACGATTTCTCAGATGGTTACAGCGACTATACAGTAGTCTTACTGCGCCAAGCTTCAACGCCGTCGTCTTCGTCAGGTGCTACCCCACGAGACCTTTCCGACAGTGCTAGTGAAGCAATGTAGGTTGCCAGTGAAGCTCGGGCTGAGTCGCTAGTGACACCTCTTCTTGTTGTTGTTAACACGCCACTTCAAGCCACCACTTCAGCTTTCCCCGCAAGAAGAAAAATACTCCCTCTCGTTACTCACCACGAACATGCACGAACATATCAACTCAGACTCACAGAACACGCATACAGACAACGATAGAATGAAAGAAAAATTCGCTGCTCTGGCACGAGATTATAGTAAAGAGGCACGTTCTAAGACTCTATGACCGGCACGTGAGGCAGCGGAAGATGGTAGGCCTCCACGAGACCCGCAAACGAGGTGTAGATGCCGACGAGCCCCGAGAAGCCTCCGAAGCACATGATGAACACCTCCCAGCTGATGGAGTACCACTCCATGGTGTCCCACTTGAGCTTCATGTGGAAGTAGCAGGGCCAGATGAAGGACAACATGGTGCCGGTGAAGCTCCCGATCAGACCCATGAGCAGGGCGAAATATGGTATCGAGATGGCCAGGAGCATGGTAAATATGACGAGACCCACTCGCAGGGCCAGTCCCCACACCCGCAGCTCGCCGTCGATGGCATAGCAGGATGGGAACAGGGTCTTCGGTCGCTCCCTGAAGTAGGCGTGCTCGATCAGGGCTGAGGCGGCGAAGTAGGGCAGCGGGTAGGAGAAGAGCGCTTTGGCGACCAGGATCAGGTTGACGACGATCTTGAAACCCTTGGTGGGCAGGTTGTTGGTGATCACCTCCTGGGTCTCCTCGGCGAACGTGAGGAAGCAAACCCAGGCGAACAGCGCCTTGAAGACGGCGGCAGCGATGTGGCTCCAGTTGAGCATGCAATGAAACTTGGACTTGTCCGTCAGGTTTCCTTCGAGCGTTGGCAGGAAGATTTGCGACGTGTAACTGAAGACAACGATGCCCATGGTGACCGGGAATTTGTTGATGTTGATGCGGAACTGGACCTTGGCCCAAGCCCACTCCGAGGCTCGGCCCAGGCAGTAGCCGAGGATGATGACGTTGATGCAGAGATGAGTGACCGTGCACCAGAAGCTCAGCATGGACACGGAGCGCAGGTTCTTGAGAAAGGCGCACGGTAGCAGGATGATGGTGGTCAGCATGATCCAGGAGCGCTGGTCGACGGCGCCCTCGGGGAAGGAGCCGATCATGAGGTCTCCGCAGAGCACCACGTACAGAATGCAGGTCATGAGTAGTTCGATGATCTGGGCGATGTTGACGGCCTTGCCGCCCCACCGGGGTCCCAGCACCGTCTGGGCTACGGCCACATAGCTGTCCCGGACTCGGACGAGCTCGCCGCGTTCGTTCGGCTCGTAGAGGCAGTCCACGAGTATCTTGCCTGTGTGGCAGCACATGTAGGCGACGAAGACGAGGGCGAAGATGCCCCAGTAGCCGCCGTGGAGCACCGAGTAAGGCAGGCTCACGATGAACATACCCTGCGATGAAGAGGGCACGTTATTAAACGACAAGTGAACGTTAACAGCGCGCGAAAAGCAAGAGGGCAGGGAGAAAGATGGAACAAGTACTACACTGCAGTATGGTTGACAGGCGGGCTAGTTGGTACAAATTCATAATGAAATAATTGAAAGCGCAAACCAACGAGACACAAGAGAAGAGACAAGCAAGCGCAGACTGACACTCAGTTTATTCAGAGTAGAAAATATACACCAGAAAGATGAGAAAGGGAAAAAAAAACTGGGAAGAAGGTTCCACCATGATCAGGTGTCCAGAAACGAGATTTCACAATCTGACAGTGATATAGACGGTGAACTAACACAACTATCAATATTCTTTTCAATAAACAAGGCTTCCGCAATCTCTCCAGCTTTCATGTCATGATGGCTGTATAAGACAGATGTGCGCGAAAATTCAGATACGCAGGCACACTTTTTGCAATTGTCGGACAAACGTAAACCCGGGGCTGATTTCAGCGCATTGTAGCGTTATCGCAGGCGAATATTCAAGCAGTGCCCAGTCTGCCCAATGTATAACCTGCCGCAAGACAGTGGAATACAATAAACGAATTAGATCGACAATTGGTGAAGGAATTGACATGCTTGACACCACAACCTTTCTTCACAAGACCTGCCTTCATTCTGCTTTGTAGTTCAATTCTAGAACACATTTGCTACAGTTTTCCATTTGTGGAAAACACAGCGTCGAGGTTGAATTTTTTTGCACATTTTTTTATCTTACCAATCGTAAAATTGTCTAACTGCAGTGGTTTTAGTATCGACGTTGTCGATTTGTTTTATTCGGTTCCTCACCCTGAACTCATGAAGTGTGTAAAAAATGAATCACGCAGGAAAACGACGAACTTTCATTGATAAACAAATGTAGGATGTCGGCTGAGAGCTTCATGGAACGACTCTTTTTTTATGTGAATTCTACTCTTGTATTATGGGGCGATAAGTATTACGTGCAAAAGTCTGTCATTTGTGTCGGCTCTCGTGCAACACTGGTCCTGTGCGACATATTCTTAAGTTATTTTGATAGGGCTTTGCAAACGGCACTAAGCAGCCTCGTCATTAATGTCTTCAGATATGTGGATGATTACCTTGTGCTCGTTCATTCTCCTTCCTTGGATAAAAAGCAGCACAAGATTATTAAGGCCTTCGAAAAAAATGGGCATGGATTACGTTTCACGCACGAGGTTCCCCTTGATACGATATTGCAGTTTCTTGATCTTGAGTTATCTTTTCGCGCAGATCACCTATGCTAGTCCTACTCTCCCCGTTCAAAGAAACAAATCTTGGACTACTCTTCTTCGCATTCTAAAGTAGTAAAATCGGGTATTGCGATGAACCTTCTCAATTCTGCTGTAACAAAATCATGTTTCCACAAAATCACGCGTGTTTTTTTTTTAATCAACTAATTAGGTTGCGAGAGGCAGGCTTTCCGTCCAATGCCCTCATTTTCGCCACTCAGAAGGTACTGCGTATGAAGAAAGGGAAGGGATGCCCTTTAAAGGAGACAGATAAACGACGTAAGTTTGCGGTAGTCCCATATGTGCACGAGTTTTCGCATAAGATAAAAAATGTGCAAAACATTTCAACCTCGACGTTGTGTTTTCTGCAAGTGGAAAACTGCAGCAAATGTGTTCTAGAATTGAATTACAAAGCAGAATGAAGGCAGGTCTTGTGAAGAAAGGTTGTGGTGTCAAGCATGTCAATTCCTTCACCAATTGTCGATCTAATTCGTTTATTGTATTCCACTGTCTTGCGGCAGGTTATACATTGGGCAGACTGGGCGCTGCTTGAATATTCGCCTGCGAGAACACTACAATGCGCTGAAATCAGCCCCGGGTTTACATTTGTCCGACCATTGCAAAAAGTGTGGCTGCGTACCTGAATTTTCGCGCACATCTGTCTTATACAGCCATCATGACATGAAAACTAGAGAGATTGCGGAAGCCTTGTTTATTAAAAAGAATATTGATAGTTGTGTTAGTTCACCGTCTATATCACTGTTAGATTGTGAAATCTCGTTTCTGGACGACACCTGATCATGGTGGAACCTTCTCCCCAGTTTTTTTTCCTTCTCTCATGTTTCTGGTATATAATTTCTTCTCTGAATAAACTGAGTTTCAGTCTGCGCTTGTTTGCCTCTTCTCTTGTGTTCCGTAGGTTTGCGATTCCAATTATTTCATTATGAAGTACTACACGCTGCACAAAACAGTATGCTCGTGGTTGTACCCCGCAATTCGTCTTCTGGTTTTGCTAGCCTAGGGACGCAGGGACACGTGTAATTAGTGAAGCGGCTCTAATTAGGTAAGGGAAACAGCGTCTGCGTGATTATACAGTCGGCGTGATTACATAGTAAAGAATTAATATTCCTGAAAAAAAATGCGGCACTGAAAATGTCTGTAATTAGTCGTGGCATTTGATAAAGTTTCTCTACATGTTATTTCACACTGTTTTGTATAGGCTTTTTCTGAGTGCGTTTATACGCAGCAAACTTGTAAGTAAGGTAATGTATATAGTGATCATCTTGTTCCTTTGGTGTTGTGACACTGTGTCTCATTTCAGTACCAATCAACTACGAGCTCGCTGGAGAAAAAAATGCCAGACTGCATAGGGCAGCACATATTGACGGCTCGCCGACTGTTACCCGCATCACGCTAGCGTCCTTGATGTGGCAGGGAGGGAACGGAAGATGAAGAGTATGCATGGAGTATCAATCGCGATGAGTGCCGGGGCGTGCGAGTGGACGTGTGACGTAAGTTGTGAACCAGATTTCTGAATCAGCTGAAGTGCTCGAATGAACGTGAGCATGAACCGGGGTATCAATGAGTGTGTGAGTAAGTGAAACTATAAGAATGATTGGCTAGTGGATTGGGATGAGTGAGGGGATAAGCAAATAAAAACTATGTGTATTGTTTAGCTTTCAGAGGCATCACACTGTTTCACAAAAAATGCATTGCAATAGTGCAATAAAGAGTTGTTTGAACAACGCTGATTGCCAGCACTTCTAACATGCCCATAGCAGCCCTAGTCTGCGTCATCGCCCTTGAACGTTGGCTCTATGAACGGTAATACGCCTGCGAACGTCCAAGGCCTGGGCCGTCCTCCCCACCAGACAACGCCTGCATAAATTTGGAATAGTCCCGGATGCACGTTGTCCGAACTGTCACGCAGTTGAATCGCAGGATCACGCGTTGTTCCAATGCGTGGCGGTGAAACCCGTGTGGCGGATGGTAGCCCGCTCCTTTGGTATCCGCCCACCTCCTTACCACAAGCGCAACAAAGGTGCCTTCGGCCAACTTGTGCTGATCTTCACGATGCTAGCTATTTGGCAAAGGATATCGCTAGCGGAGGCGCGTAGAAAGCCTGTCCGGAGCGTGTTCCCGGTAGTCTCGCGTATCCGGCGGTTGCTATGGGCCCACCTATCCGGCGAACTCGAGGCCAGCGGCGAGGAAAACTTCCTTCGTCGCTGGCATACCAAATTCTTTTTTCTGAGGAAGGGCAAGCTAGCCGCCCCAATCACTACCTGGTGACCCCCCTCCCGCTGTCTAGCACATGCAGAAGGGGACTTGTATATATATATATATATATATATATATATATATATATATATATATATATATATATATATATATATATATATATATCTGTATCACCTTTTTCATTTCGTCACCCCATTGTCGTTGTTATTTGTAATCGATTCGGGCAAAGTGTGCTGGTCGACACTTGAGTTAAATTTTGTATAGCGCCTTCTTCATTGATTGGCGCCTTCAGTCATTTTTTTTACGCGCAGATTGTTGCTGATGCCTTATTTGGGGAAAGACAAGAGCCCCCCCCCCCCCACTCCCTTGTACCTCCCCCCCCGGCGCCCACCAGCCTCAAGGCCTCTTTTATACCTCCGGGCATGCACTTACTGTGTACGAAAGCAGCATTGTTTCAGGCGACAAAAAAGAAATAATACCTAGAGTTGTACAGCGCTAAGTCGCTACTTGTTCCCACCGCGTGTTGAGAAGACCTACCGCCGCGCATGATTAAGCCTTCTGGAGCACCACGCGCTGTACAGTAAATAGAGGGGTACATTCCCCCACATACATTGTACCTCGGTAGTGGTGCTTTCCTGATTGTACATGCACCCTTTGTAGTCGTGAAGCTCGATGTTTTTGTCATGCACTTTATCCTTGGTTGGAAGTCAATAAACTTCTCTTTGTTGCCTCTGAAAAAGGCAGTTTTTTGGGAGTGACAGGAGACAAGGTCAAGCTCTCCGTCAGATTCCCCGACTGTGAAATATGTTAAAATGTTAGCATGTTGGTGTTGTTTGTTTGTTTTTTGGGTGTTGTTTTCCTTTCTTCTGTTTTGCTCAAGCTATCATTAAGTTGCACGGAAAGCGTGTCTGTTGCACGAGCTAGAGTGTCTTAGGCGATAATCATGTTTCGTCAGGTAGTATGATTTGAAGTGTACGTAGATCTACCTATGTATGCGCAGCGCTAGTGACCAGCAGTGAAGTGATTGCCACTTGTTTGAAGGAAATAAAACTTTTCTCAATCTGTGTCAAGGCCAGCACGCGAGCCCGCCTGACGCGAACAACTCAACGGCGTCATCACGCGGCGGTGCTGCCTCTCTGCCGCGCACGCACAGCGAGCCCGTTGAAGCAATCGGCGCCTTCCTGTCTGGCGAGTCTGACGCAATGCGTGGCGACGTCACTCGTCCTTGGGTGCAGCCACGTGCAGCGCAGCGGCTCCGGATTCGATGAGAATGACGCGGCCCAGCGGCGACCCCATTGGAGGATCCTGACCTCACGACCAGCGGCGCTTCTGGTTGGACATTTGGTTACTCAAAGAATCCTCCCAGTGCATATAAAAAAAGCCCTGCGGCGCGTCGCGAGTAGTACATCTATGTGTCAGAAAGGAGAGCTCGGCTCTTCGAGTTTCTAAGCTGTCGGCCCCAGTGCCGAATTTGTAACGCCTCTGTATATA